ATGTACACAGGGCTGCAGTCCGACCCAGTGTGACGTTTCCCAGCCTGATGTACACAGTGCTGCTGGCCACTGTTCAAAAGAGCAGGCACGTTCACTGTGTAAACTGGAGCATCTTTGGTACAGCTCTGGGTGAGCTTTGTGCTTCATGTCCACTATTATCTGATGTGATTTTTAAACTTTCAGTGATGGTTGGTGTGTTGTACTCCCCACCCCCTTCTCAGGCCAGGTTTGGTGTTTCACCTAAATCCACCTCACTAACCTGTGCCACAAGCTTTCTAAAAGACAGATGGGCCCGAAGAAGTGGTGTAGCTCACTGGCCAACATGAGCACCTCTCACTATGCCAAGGCAGAGTGCTAACCACACAAGAAATCCCGGTCATATTGTCTTTTTAGGTCGTGTTTCTAATGGTGACTGATTCACTGAGCCCTTCTCCTTCCTTTGGGACACACCATGTAGACACACCTGTCTTCTTGCCGCTTTACCACACGTGCTTTGGTGTGGTAATAGGTGGTATGGCAGATATGTTACGTGTGGTGGTCATACCGCTGGTGACCACATAGGCTGCTGCCAGGTGTGCTCAGTGTTGGTCATGTCTTTGCCAGCTGTTGCCACACTCCGCCGGGTATTCAGTGGCAAGCCAGAAGGGAGAAGGCGTCCGTAACCCTGTGTGGGAAGGCCAGAGCTGCCCTCTCGCCACTAGCAGTTCCCACAGGTTGTGTGAAGAGACTTGCCTCTGGGAAGAAAACCCAACAGCCCCTGGCGTGAGTTGGGAAAATGTACTCGGCCCCAGTAGCTTGTTCTCAGCCCTCCAAATGTGGCCGTCCTACCACCAGGTCTGGGCCGCTTGGTTCCAAAAGGCCGCTGACAAGGCACTGCTTTCTGTTGCTGTGTGCTGACAGGAGCGTTTTGGAGACCGTGTTCGATGAGGTCCTCGCGGTCGATGTCCTGGACAGTGGTGACTCCGCTCACCTGACCTTGATGAAGAGGCCTGAGTTGGGGGTCACGTTGACGAAGCTGCACTGCTGGTCGCTCACGCAGTACTCCAAGTGTGTGTTCATGGACGCGGACACAATGGTGAGCCTAGTTCCGAGGACCGAGGGCAAGCCCAGAGCCATGGGCCCGGTTGCTGAAGCCTTCGAGCAATGCTGCTAACCCTCGACAGAGCAGTTCAGATCAAGCCCTGCTGTGCAGGGCCGGGCGATGGAGCGGGCCAGACCTGGGCTGGCTGACTACTGTCACCTGAATGGTTAGGGCCAGCATCCATCTGCATCTCTGTGTTGGGTAAATTAGGAAGACTTTAGCGCAGCGGTTCTCCACCTGTGGGTGTGACCCCTTTGGGGGTCAAATGACCCTTTCACAGGGGTGGCCTCAGACCATCGGAAAACCCATAAATATTTCACAATACATGATTACAGATGTTTTTGTGAAGAAGCACTAGGCTTTAATTAGGTTTAATTAGATTCAATTTGTAACAATGAAAATACATCCTGCAGATCAGATATTCACCTGATGATAAATCACAGTAGGAAAATGACAGTGATGAAGTAGTAATGAAAATAATTTTATGGTTGGGAGTCACCACAACATGAGGAGCCGTATGAAAGGGCCATGGCATTAGGAAGGTTGAAAACCACTGCCTTAGCGGGTTATGCCACACCGGAACATGCCCCTAACATAAGGTGATCAGATGTCCTACTTTGGGCAGGATAGTCCCTATTTTTAACAATTTTTCCCGTGTCCTGCGGCCTTTTAAAAAACTCCCAATTTTTGGAAAGAATGCACGACAAGCTAGGGTATGCGGTTTTCGGCTGCCATGTGGCTATTTCACCAGGATGTGAGTTTTATCAATGGTGTCCCACTTTACCAATGTTAAAATCTGGTCACCTTGCCCTAACAACTCCCCCCGCTTTCCATCGATCAGGTCCTGGCAAACATCGATGATCTCTTTGAGCGGGAAGAATTCTCAGCAGCTCCAGACCCAGGGTGGCCTGACTGCTTCAACTCTGGAGTTTTTGTGTTCCGGCCTTCGGTTGAAACGTACAACCAGCTATTGCACATGGCTTCGGAGAAAGGTAGCTTTGATGGTATGTATCTGCTATCTTCATCTCTCCTAAGCTATTAATAACTTCTAGGGACTGTTCTCCCAAGGGACTTAATTGCTGTGCTATCTCGTGCCTGGTAGAGGTGTTTCAAGTCCTGCTCTTTTTTGGAAGCAGCCCTGGTGCCTGCACGACCGAGCACATGTGTTTTTTCTGCAGTGGCTCACAATTTGCCTACACTGGGATAGGACGTTTTGCGAGCTGGCCTGTAAGAGGAGACACACCCTCTGTCTCCTTTGACAAGTGTGATAAGTGCAACGTGATGACTCAGGAATTCAGAAGGCTGACAGACGGATCACAAACGTAACCAGTTTTTTTTAAAACCTCAGCATAAACCCGAAGCCACTGCCCACTGGGCCAGGCTCCTGGGAAAAAATCTTGTGCTCTCTGGTTGTCTCCCTGGAGACCTGAGGATCATGCTGACCATCTGGCTCCTGCCCGATGCCTGGGGAGGGACCGGCATGGAGGTAGAAAGCACATGTGAATCCCCTTCGTCTGCAGCCTCTCCTTTCCTCTCAGACAGCACATCAGGTGGAGGAGCCACCTGCGAGGCAGGAGCGTGTAGGCAGTCAGCGGAGACCGTGGTCAAATCTAGGGCAGCCCCAGCATCCGCAGCTGTGTGTGGCACCTCCTGACAGGAGGAGGAACAGGAAGGGTCTGACCGTGTCAGGGACTTAGGGCGTCCACATCCTTCGCCGCCAAATGAATCAGCAGGTATGCTTCCGTTTCTGGCCTGCCGCTGAAACAGTACATAATAAGCCCTCCCCCCTTTTTTAATAACTAGAAAATAAACACAGAATGATATGCAGGAGCAGTTCCTTTCCCCCTGATTTTGCATGTATTCTTTGAGTGAGGGAAAGGCCCACGGGAGACACTCCCAGGAGTGACTCGCCCTCCCATCCTGACAGTGACCCAGCCAGGGACTGTGCGGGAGGGGGGGGGGTGAGGGCAGCTTCCCCTGGGGCCTGCTCCTCCCCCAGCTTGGGAAAGGCTCAGCTCTGGGTCCAGTGTATACTCGAGTATAAGCCAACCTGAAAACCAGCCGAGGCGCCTAATTTTACCACAAAAACTGCATTTTAAATGTGCTGGAAAACTCAACTTATACACGAGTCTATACAGTAACTACAAGCAGAGCCTCGAACTCTTTGAAACACAAATATAAAAGCCCATTAGACCCTTGAAGCCAAAAGGTTAGAGGTTTGTTAAGAAAAAAAAAGTGTAGGTAAAACGGAGATTGTGGGTCTTCAGCCGTTGCTGTTCGGATTTGAGATTATTTGAGGATTTGGGATGTACACTGTTTGGAAACATCACTGAGAAGGATGAGGACACTTGGAGGGTCCGCTGTGTCCTACTATTTGAGTAGATGATTACTCTCTTCTGTGTCCAGCATTGTCAGTGACTGGGATATGTGGCACCGTGGCCAAGTGTTTAGCTGCTAGCCCCACCCCCACCCCCGGCTGCTCCATGGCAGGGAGATGTGCAGTGTGCTCCCATAAAGATCGCAGCCCTGGAGACCCTACCAGCCGTCTGCACCGTCCGCTGGGGTCCCGTGAGGCAGACGACTCACTGGCGGTGGTGTTTAGGCAGTCTGGTAGCAGGCGGTGTGGCGTTGCTGGCATTTAGTGCGCAGGGGTCAGGAATGCTGCCACAGACAAGCACCTGACCCCGCATCTCCACAGAGAAGTGCTGCTCCCTGTGCCAGCGCTGCACGCGCCATGAGCAGGGCGCGGGGATCTCAGGACCGTCAAGAAGGGCAGTCTTGTTGGAAGCAATCTATAGGGACCGCATAGGACAGAGCAGAATGACCCCCGGGGGTCATTACAGGAGTAGAAAGCCTCATCTCTCTCCCGAGGAGAGGCTGGTGGTTTCGAACTGCTGGCCTTTCGGTTATGTCACCGGGAGGCTCCTTTCAACAACCTTCAATAAGAAAAGGAGCTCACCGTCTCCTGGACCAAGTATACTGTCATCATGTTGCTCCTTGGGATATTCACTTCTCGTGTCCTGTCATACGGAGTGAGTCTCCGCAGTAGGGCAGGTTGAACTCCAGCGTCCCTGCAGCTCCTCAGGAACAGAGCGAGCCCGTGTGATCCCCTCGAGATGTGCTGCCTCAGAAACCCCGTGCAGGGTCCTTTGATTCGGAGCCAGCTCGGTGGCACCGGGTTTGGTTGGGGGTCCATTTTATTTTCTCAAAGAAGGAAGGGGAGCCATCTTCACAGTCAAGCCCCAAGGAGGTACCCCTGTTCCCTGCTCTGTCAGCTACAACAGCTACCTGCACAGTCTGTCCCCGCCCGTCCCGCAAGGGGCCTCCACGTCACCCTGCCAGAAGCTCCTTTGAGACTCTTCTCCACAGGAGGACGTGAATCTCATTCCAAAGTGCCTCTGTGGCCGGCCAGCTGCCGAGATCCACTTGATTGTGATGGGACAAAGGGGCGTCCACTCTCTAGCCAGGCCGCTAGATGTGGTCAGACTCGACGAGTGGGGATGCAGGTTGCAGTGGTAGAGTGCGGCACCGAGTCACAAACCTGCACCCTCTCCTCGCTCCGGAACCCTGCAGGTGTGGCTGCTGCGATGCCAGTCTCAGTCGTGCCCGGATGGAAAGCCGTTTTTGCCCTTTCAGCCAGGATCTGAGACCACCGAGGCTTCTCCCCAACGCGCAGGGGGCCCCCTAGCACGTTTCATCCTTTGGTAGCAGGGCTTCCAGGCGCCGGCCGGCCTTGAGGTACTTCGTTTACTGGCTAGTTGTTGGCCACAGGCCGGCGTTTCTTTGTTCATTGTTGCTGTTAGCTGCCGCGGGGTTGGCCTGACTCATAATAACCCCATGCGTGCACAGGGAGACAAAGGCAGACCCCGTCCAGACCACTCCCCCTCCAATCAGGCCCTCCAGATCCGTGGCAGAGCAGATGCCTGGGGTCCGTTGTGGAAAGGCGATGGAAGGAAGGGGTTGTAACATCAGCAGTTCGCGGAACTCCTAGTCCGTTCTCAGCATGGTATACGTGGAAGGCAGGGAAGAAAGAACACACTCACAGCTGGTGACCTGCAAGCTTGCTTTGTGTTTCACTCAGCACAAGAAAAGTTACCCCCCAGCTTAGGAGCCTGCTCCCCACCGGAGTGCGTGACTTGCTGACCACGCAGATCAACCCCCTGGTGATACAAAGACAGGCGTACCAGACTTATCGTTAACTTGAAGGAAGCCGTCTTCATCCACTACACCCTTCTCTCAGGACACGAGCCTCGTTTGGCCCCAGGTTTTCAGCACACAACCTAATGGTGTTACAACTGATGTCAGGATCCCGGGCCAGGATCCTAACTTTCACCATGACACTTTCTCACACCCAGGCACACACACTCCACCCCCACCCCCGTTTTGCTGATCAAGGTGGGGGGGGGCCTTCATATTTTTAGACCAGCGATGAAAGAAGACTGGTTTGCAGACGACCCTATCTCCGTCCGAGTATCTTGTAAGTCCTGCTTAATCTCCCGCGTACGTTTCCGAGCAGTGGCTGGGGCCTGGTGTCCATTGACGAGCCACCCAGGCTGCGAGGCCACAGCTGCTTTCGCGCCAGGAGGAATGCAGCTGCCCTGCTTCTAATCACCAGCCCTCTAATCACCAGCGCCTCTGGCCAGAGACTCGGCCTAATATGGCAAACGGGCTGGGTATGCCGACGCGTCTCTGCCCGAGCGCCTGGAAGACTGGATTGTGAAGCTGGTGGCTGCAAGCCTCAGGGGACCAGATTCTAACATTGGTAACGCGGACACCATTGATAAAACTCATATCCTGGCGAAACAGCCACATGGCAGCCGAAAACCGTATACCCTAGCTTGCTGTGCATTCTTTCCAAATATCGGGACTTTTTTAAAAGGCCGCGGAATGCGGGGGAAAAATTGTTAAAAATCGGGATGTCTGGTCACCTTATGCAAGCCCGACTCATGGCTAACACTCAGTGTCCCCGAGTCCGCTCTGCCCCCTGCCTTTTTGCTTGTTATTTTCACACTGTTACTTCAGCATTTACTTCATCACCGAGGTTACACTATTTCCTGGAAAGTTGAACAAGAGGTGTTGTGAAACAGCCGGGGCCGGCACTTCGTACAACAGGACAGAACTACAGGTTCGCCGTGAGAACCGCGCTGTGGGCACGGCGCTGCAGGCCTCGGTACCTCGCAAGCACGCCTGTGAAATGAAGTTGCTGACGTACTTGCCTTTTCCGCCAGAGAAATCCTCCTGAAAGCCTGTGGAGATTGTCTGTTTGGGTTTTTTTTCTCCTTTTCCCTGGAGACTCTAGAGTACCGAAATTAACAATACTTAAACCGTTAACATTAAGAGTTTAATGCTTGAAATCGCTGTCTGTACGTTTCATTTGTAGCGGTTAGTGTTTCTTTCAAAATCTGAATCGAACAGAGCAATGTAGATCTTCCAGTTCAATTCAGAGGCTAAAACGGGACTTTTCTACTGCCAACAAGCGTCGTCTCTGAAACCCCAGGGGCAGCTCTTCCTCTGCCCACCATGGTCACGTGAGTCAGCGTCCACTCGGCAGGCAGTGGTCAAGTTGTTGTTGATTTCAATCTGAGTTTGTGTTTGTGTGCATATGAGTGTGTGTGAGTGCATATGC